TTCCCTTAGCTTCTGCAAGGTTCATAACAAATCCCCACGTTACAGCAATCAAGTGCCCCCATTTTCTTTCCGCTGGGAGTCACTTAATTCTTTTACAACAGCTAGATGACATGCTGTTCCTCTAAACCTACAGAGTTCCCTGCTCACTTAGTCTGTACAAGCAGGCTTCAAAGTCCAAAGACTGCCGTTTACTTCCTTGTTCAGGTTGTCAAGATCTTCAAAGATGAATCCTGTCCTCCGGCTACGTGAGCAAAAGGTGGCGGTGCCCCCAGTACGTCCTCAGAACTGGCTGTGATGCGAACCTTCGCGTTGTCCGAGCCACGGCAAGCTTTTGCAGTGAGTTTGTTATCTGTGAAAGATCACCTACAGGCTAAAATTTCAGCGGATCTCCAGCTACACTCAACCCCCAGTCACAGTTCTCTTCAGCTCACAAAAATTTCTGTCTTGTTGAGCGACTGTGTTCTGATCGCACCTTCCTACTCAACAGATCGACGCCATATGTGCATTCAATGCGCTCTGCTACCTTTAGCCATTAAAAATAAGCTTCGTTTCAGTTTATTCCCATTAGTCTTGGGCAACCAGCACCTTTAAAAGATGATGAGCAATTCTGATATGCAAGGAAAACACCTGAATTCAAGTTCCAACGTTATCACCTGCACGAACCTACTAAAGGCAGGCGGTATGCGCACCATGAGAATGCTATATAAAAAGCAAGCTCCACCTTCTCAGTTTTCAGCCACATTCACAGGGCGACCAGGTATTTTCTCGATTGCAAATTAGGTGGCTTTGACCAAAAAAAAAAAAAAAAAAAAAAAAAAAAAGGAATATTTTGTGTAGCTTTATTCTTTCCCTTTCATTTCCTCCTCTTGAAAACAAATTCAAGAATTCAACATACCAAAATCAAAGATTATCCTTTCAATTGTGACAGCATTTCTAGAGCTTGATCTCTTAGTGCAAGCACTCCTTGCAGCACCATCCCTTCCATCGCACTTTAAAGATGCCCACTGTGACCACTCTGGTCCTCTTTGATAGTTTATTCCCACTCAGCGAACACACCTTTAAACTTCAAAGCCTTTTCATCTAACCCAAACGCACTACCTTACAGAAGACCTCAAAGCTTCGGCTCACTTCTGCTACTGATGCGCTTGAGCGAGTCACTCTCTCTTCCTCACCTTTAGCCTCACCGTCCCTGCCGTAAGAGAAGCCACCTGCCTTTATAAACCATCAAGACAGACTTGCCACGGGCAGGCAGGTGTCACGTACAGAGCGCACGCATCTCCCCCGGCCCTATCCTCTCATGACCACTTTGCGGTGACAGTCACCGGGTATCAACACTCCTCTGTGATACCACGCATACTCTACAGACGTCGGAGAGCCCGCTCCTCTTGCTCATCTGGGCACTTGCAGAAGACAACCAAATATTTCTTCCATGCCATGTTTTACCGTAATTTATGCTGTACATTCACTTTCCTTGGCAAGAACTAACTCAGGTAAGAATTATTTATTCCCAGCCCATACGAGATCCTGCACATTCAAATATTCCAGCCCATTTGCAATCAGTTCCTTCAATGGCTTTAGAACTTGCTACAGCACTGCATTTGTGCTTTACTTCGTTACAAGCTCAACTTTTATTTCATAACCTAGATCCTTGAGAGGAAAAAGTATTCCATAGCCTGAATCCACACATTGCAAAAATAATCCATCCTCTGACACTAACATGTACTGCACACAGTTTTGGATGACTACTGTTTTGTGTGAAGCATCAGAAAGGGAAAGATCTCCGATCCTACCAACACACCAGATTTCTCTACATCTGGCCACTAATCTTCAAACTCTCCCATGTCACCTAATGGTCTTTTAATTCAGGCTGACCCACCACTTCCTCCCTAGCACTGAGCATTGTATTTGCAAAGACAGCATTCAGCCTTTAGAGACACGCAGTGGTTCAGTGACACCTACGCAGAGCTGCTTCAGTCTGCTGTGCACACCATAAAACCACGCCTGGTATCCCAGTCATCCGAACCAGAGGACCCACTGGAGCACCCTGCTGCTCCTACCTTGCCCACGCACCTAGGTTTTCTTCTAAGCAAAGCATATGATGTCGGGGAAGAAGAATAGCACGCGCCCTGCACATATAGATCCCACTCCTGACGTGTCGTCAGCATAGTCGTCGTCTGCTCCTAGGGATGAGGGCTGTGGGCTGGACCAAGCAGCACAGACCACTACGGCATTCAAAACTCTGCAGGAGCTGGGAGCTCCTGCCACAAAGCACTAATATTACCAACCACCCCTCAGAAATATCTTCCTTCGTGCAAGACAGCAACCCCTGACTCCTGCTGAGTTCCTACCAGCATACACTGCTACTATTTTTGGAAGGGAAAATTGGCTGGCACGTCGTTCTAGAAAGGTTGCCAACCCCTCATCTACACTAAAATGTCATTTTCTCCATTGGCTGACATTACCTTTTAGCAGTCCAAGAGATAAGACCACGACTACCTTTTATTCTCTCTTAAGCCCCATAATACACATTTTTCTCACAAAGCCAGTCATGCTATCTTCTATCATTTGTTAGATACAGCCTTGTGACCTAGATAACATTTTAGGCTTAACAAGTACAGGAAAGATTCTCCAACCCCAAGTGCAGGGCAGTACCAGAAAACAAAATCTGATTTATCCAACCCCATACTTCAGATTTCAGAATGATGCAGTGCAGAATTGCTTTTATAACAAGTTGTAGGCTTTGGTGAGCAGAGAACAGATGGGGCTTTTGGCATTCAGGGAGGAGTAGGTGTAAATTTTGTGCTTTTGGCAACCAAGAGGTAGTTGAGGCTTTGACACTAGGGA